GCCCCCAGCCTTTCCTCCCACCCAGGCACACTCTTGAAAGTATTGTCCTAAGCCCCCACTTTTCCTTCTCAGAAACACACTAGGATCTAGCTGTTAGAAGATGGATCAAATTCCCACCCACCACGAGCAAGGAGCATGACCATTTAGGGTTGGTCTGTCTGTCTGTCTGTCTATCTATCTCTATCTCTCCTGTGTCTATGGCCCCTGACCCCACAGTTTGTCTTCTTTAACTGGTCATAGTGTTGAAGCCAATTATAGAGTTTTATAGAATCAGTTTACAGGAATTTTACAATTACTGATCTGAATTTTAAAACCAATTCAGACGACTCTTTTCTATTTCTCTTTTTAAAATACTAATTGACTTCCCATTTAGGTGTCCTGGGATTGACTTTTCTCTCTCTGGATCACAGAGATCTGGAGAGGTGGAATCTTTCATTTCTGAAAGATTGGCCTTTCCATTTTATCAAAGTATTTTTTAATTAACAAAAGGCATAACTAAGGTGCACTGAAAGATGCTTTAAAATTGTTTCTTTTCCCAAAAATAGGCCTGTCTGCTAGTTTTCATTCAACTCATCAGAGCATGTTTATTCTAGCGACTAACAAGCTTTCTGATTCCATCAGCAAGAAAAAGATGTTTAACAAGGGAAGCTACCTTGCATTTGTTATATTTCACGCGTGAACTTGCACCCCCAAAGGACATCTTTTCACGGTCCGAACAGCAATGGAGATCACTAGGTAGAATAATGTGTGGCAGCTGTTCCAGGGCTGTACACACAGGCGTCTCAACTTCTGCTTGGTTTAATTCATCCTGACAATAAATAGCAGAAGCCCCTCTGCTTTTCTGGAAGGAGTGTGGACATTTCTAAATCATCAGAACAACTGGACTGGCTTCCCCTCCCAAATGTGCTCATTGCCTCTACCCATGTACCTCTGCAGGTCAGACCCTCCCTTTGGCCACTGTGTCCTCCCCAGACCATGGAGGAAGGGAGGGGGGAACCTTTGCAATGAGATGAGAAAACTCAGCTGGTCCAGATTCCAGGCTAAGGAATTGGAGTCTGTTCTTGGAGACAACCAGCTTCAAGTTTCCCAGCTGCACTGAGTTTAAGTGTGGCCTTGAAGTCAGACAGATCCTCATGATCTTAGAGAACCAAGTTTTATCTTTAATCATTTCTTCCAGGGTCTTAGGAAACCCCAAAGTTTCTATAAGCTGCTGATGCACCGGTGCCCAAGGTCTGGCCCCTCCATGCACATGTGATCTCCAATTCACTCCCATGTCATTCAGGAAGCATGGACAGAGAGCATTGTGCAGCTATTAGAAATGCATGGAGTAACTGGGAGGTTGGGGAAGGGATCACATGAGGCTCTGAGTCACCTTCTACCTTCCAGTGGTTCCACTACCCTCCCAACATCCTCTTTAATTTTCTGAGTCCCTCTCTAGAAAAACCTACAGGTCTCTTTTCCTTGGCATGCAGAATTTTGTCCTGCTACCCAGGATGGTGCCTGTCTCCACAGCTACCCAAAGCTGATCCATCAGGAACTGTCACAAGGGTAGTCTTGTGGATATTTCCTTAAAAAGAAATTTCCTATGGCCTAGAAAGAAGAGGGAAGAAAAGCCTTCCTTGTGAATATCTTGTTTTGAGCAACCCTTCTCCATTCTGCCTAATAATAATAGCAGAGTGCTCAGCAGATTCAGGTTCATGTGTGAGGAGACATTAAAATTCCCAGTCACTCATGAGAACCCAGAGAAGCTAAGGGACTTGGCCCAGTCATTCGGCTAGAAAGTGACCACAGCTGGGACCTGGACCCAGGGCACTCCAAGTGGGGACCTTGATGTATTTCCCCACCCTTTTGCTACACAATATACACAGACCAAGTAGATGGTTCTGGTCCACTTGCAATCACACACTCGGACACCAGGTCAGTCTTGAGCTAAACCATAGAGGATGTTTCTTGTTGATGAGAATCATATCTGAGCCCCAAAGGGTCACTGGGAACAAAACGGGTGCCCCCCGCCACCCGACTTCTTTCCCTGCCTTTCTGTGGCTAAATGAGATGCAATGTCACGGGCTGTAGGAAGACGCTGACGATCCTTGGCAGCTCAAACCCACATCACCCGGCTGAATGTCACCCGCACTGTTGCAGATGTGGTCTCATAAATTAGGGAACCGGAGTGAAAGGATGACTCTGATTTAGGATTAGAAGGGCCCTACAACCTTCCCCAGGCCCCTGAGCATTATGGGAGAGTGACCTGGAAAATCAAATGCTGAGAAGTGTCCCAAAGCATAGGCATCTTGTTTGAGGCATAGTAGACCCTATTAGCTTGAGAAATTGCTCTGGAAATCTTATTAAAAGAGACAAATTATTCCACATTCTCTCCAGGCTGAAAATATTGGGGGTAATAGACTTTCTCTGATGCCTTGGATCCATGCACCCCGTGTCAGGATCACAGACAAACTCTGGCAAGGTTAAGTTCAATGCAGGCAATAGACGCAATTATTTTTTTTTTCAAATGGGCAATTCTGATTAATTCCAATTTCTCCAGCCAGCCACAGACTTATCTGTACCAGTCCCTCATTACTGAGAAGGTTGCAAGGCAGAAGAGCCAATGGCAAAGAGAAATGAAGTTCAAATTGTGGGTTTGTCATTACTGCACAGCTCAGCAGCTGCAGACGGTCCAGCCGTGGAGGCCCTGTGACCGGCCCTCCCCGCCCCCCCACACATCGCCCTACTCCACATGCTCCGTTAACCCCCAGTGAAGATGCTGGGAAAGCARGGCACATTGGCTTATGAAGCCTGACCTTGCTACTTAAAGGGCTAATGAGAAGAATCCTTCAGATTTGATATACAGATTCTCCTCGACTTACCATGATTCAGCTTAGAATTTTTTGACTTTTCAATGAAAGTGACATGCATTCAGTAGAAACCACACTTCAGATTTTGAATTTGGAACTCCTAGCCAGTCACCCAAACACAAGGGCATACCCGATCTCTTCAATATCTCTGTGCTGCTCGGCTGGGGTGCTGGGTAGGTTAGGTATATTAAGTGCAATTTTGACTTAGGGTATTTTCAACTTAGGGTGCATTTATGGGGAATTTAACCCTATTGTGAGCTGAGGAACATGTGCACGATGGTAATGAGATAATGTCAATAACTACGTAATAATAACTATTTGCACTCTCAAATAAGTGCTTATTCCATGCCTGGTGCTGTGTTAAGGGCTTTCTTGACATGAATTATCTCCTTTGTTCTCATAACAAACCTGCAGAGAAGGAGTTGGCAAAAATTTTCTGTAAAGAGCTGGACAGGGAATACTATAGGCTCCTCAGGCCACAGGGCCTCTGTCAACACTACCTTTGGTGATGGCACAACAAAGTCATAGACAATAGATAAAAAAGTAAGTGTAGCCATGTTTCAATAAAACTTTATTTATAAACCTTTATTTACTACAGGTTTGGGGCAGTAGTATGCTGACCACTGCTGTAGGGTGAATGATGTTATCCCTAAGTTAGAATTCTGGGTATCCACCATTAGGAGGGTGGGGGATGTGATTTTTCCCTCTCTCACATCCCCTCTCCTCTCTTTTCTTCCCTTCTAATTTGAGTTCTGGAGAAAGAAGAGAATAAAAGACATTTTGGCATGTGACTCCCCAGAATGAGTTTGTTCCCCATCAACAAAGGGGAATGTCACCTCTCTTCTGTGAAAACCCTGTACCAGAGGAGGCCACCACCACCTTTCCAAGGGTCACCTCTGTCAATCTAACTCCTTGTCTGCATGGAGTGTGGCCAGTGGCTAACACCACTGATGAGAAACTCAGGCCCAAACTGCTCTCAGAAGCCTTGCTGGGTCTGTGAGTTTCAGCTAAACCTCCTGGGTAACGCCCACATGGTCTTTCCATCACATGGCCTCTGCCCATCCTAGAGTGGCCCCCATAGGCCTGCACCCCTAATCTTAGCTGTTCTCTATGGTCCAGCTCTGGGGATTGTGTACCTTGGCATCTCTATGCCCCTTGGAAACCAATCAGTACCTCTGCAGCCAACCCAGGGCCACTTCAATATTGTCTCCCTAATGAAAGTCACCTAGCAGCTCACCAGATACAGTGGATGAAGCATACATCTCTCTTTCAAGATGATACCAACCAAGATTTCTCAGTCTCTGCACTACTGGTGTTTAGAGTCAGATAACTTCCCAGGGGGACTGTCCTATGCATTGGAGGGGGGGGGTATTGAGCAGCATCCTGGTCTCTATATACTAGATGCCTATAGCTTCCCAAGTAGAACAATAAAAAGTATCTTCAAACATTGGAAGATGTCACCTGGAGGGACAAAACTGCCTCTGACTGAGAACTACCCTCTTAGACTGAAGGGTGACCATTCCCTACTGCTCTTGGCTATGAGTTCTGATTCCCAATCCCAGAAAATTGGAAAAAGTATCAACAAGACCTGTCCAATACAGGTGATGTTTCCTATAGTGCAAGGGAAACATCATTGTCCCTAATTTACATATGAGAAAACTGAGAACTGGGACACAAAAGTACTAAGCAGCAGAGCCTGGATTTGGACCTAAGACTTTCCTAGGCAAAAGCCTGTCTTTTAAAAAAAAAGTTAGTCATTATCTGATCATGAATGAACATTGTAGGTTTTCCTGGAATGAGGGAAAGTTTGCTACAACTTTCATGTGAAAATAAATCCATATCATATCTCTTATAATCCTGACAGCAGCATTTCAAGGTAGATATGTTCTCTCCACTTTACAGATGAGGAAACTGAAGTCTAGCAAATCTAACAAATGGTTTGAAATCGGCCCAGCAAAGATGCTTCACCCAGTGTTTCTGTGTTCAGAGCCTCGACATTGCAATACCAAAAATCTTCTCCCAAATAGGAAAGCTGAGTTCAGTTTCTATGTGATATTCTACCACTCTAGTCCAATAAGAAATGGCACTGATGTCCACCCCCTACCCTGTGTCCTCAGCCTGCTTCTGTCACCTCTTTTCTTGCCCCAGCTCTGTATGCAGTACTGGCCCGAGAAGACCTCCGGGTGCTACGGACCTATCCAGGTGGAGTTCGTCTCCGCGGACATCGACGAGGACATCATCCACAGAATATTCCGCATCTGTAACATGGCTCGGGTAGGTGCAGGGCTGCCACGGCTTGCCTTGTCTCCTTCCCAAACAGATGGAGGCTGCCGGAGAGGATCCCACCCAGCCAGCCAAGAGTCTGTTACGCTCTCCTGATAATCTCTTCCTTCGGGAAGTGATGCCTTTGCCRATTCCGGTTCCACAGCCAGCGGTGACTCCAGCAAAGATGCAGAGAGTGACACCCAGCCTGCCATCTGCCTGTTTCCTGACACACTTGCCGCTGTGTAGACAAAACTTCCCAGACATTAGCTCTTCCCCACGGTGCCACGCTATTTTGGCACCAGTTGATGCAGACTGATTGGATATAAAAGCTCTGGGGTAGTCCTGCAAGTACTGAGAGGGAAAATAATTAGGTGCTTTCAYGAGGATACTCCCTGGCTGAGTGGAGGAGCATTGGGCAGGAGGGGGMAGCTTGGTAACCTATGAAATGGTAGCTAACTAAATGGTAGTCTCTGTTGGGAGCTCAGGCTGAATATAAGTCAGCCACTACCCTCAGTTTAGTCTCTAAAGGGAAGGTGAGATGTGTTCTGACATGAGCCTCAGAGAGAAAGAACTCTGCCCAGTAGAGTCAGGGAAGGTATTTTGAAAGAAAGGGGCATTTGAATTRGGTTTTGAAGACTGAGTAGGAGTTTTCCAGGTAGAAAGGAAAGGGAATCAGTGTGCGCAAAGCTGTAGAATGTATGTGTGGGGATAGCCTGTGACTGTCCCCATGATGTCAAGACTTTAGCAAGTCTTCCACTATGCTAAAGCCCTCCCACGGCCACCCTCCCCTGCTCCAGCCAGGGTATCTGGAAGGTTGCATCCCAAGTTCCCGCAGTACAACAGCCCTAACAAGCTCTCTGTTCTCAGCCACAGGATGGGTATCGTATCGTCCAGCACCTCCAGTACATCGGCTGGCCTGCCTACAGGGACACACCCCCCTCCAAGCGCTCTCTGCTCAAAGTGGTTCGACGGCTGGAGAAGTGGCAGGAGCAGTATGACGGGAGGGAGGGACGCACCGTGGTCCACTGCCTGTGAGTACTGTGGCGGCGTCTCCAGAGCAACGGGTTGGCGGGCGGTAGAGCACTCTTGAGGATGCTGCTGGCCACAGCTCTGCCACTTCTCAAACCCCTGACAGGGCGAAACASGAAAGCCCTCCAACCAGTTGCCCGTTGTCCTGATTATTGTTATATGACATGTGATTGTGCAAGCCATGGAGGGGCAGACCACTCCCCAGGGCTCCCAGCATAGGGGTGAGTCCCACCCTCCAAAAGGAGGCAGGACGTGTCCTGCTAGTCTAAAGGAAGATTGTGACAAGCAGGTCCCTCTGACCAGAGTCACCTTCATTATTTCCTGAAGAAGAAGAGAAGGGAAAGCCTTAGTTAGCTCAAGCAGACGTTTTAAACAAATCAATCACATCATCCCATCTGCAAGGTAGATATGATCATTTTTGTCGTGAGAAAACTGAAGCCCAGACAGGGAGACAGATCAGGAGTTAAGAGATGTGATTTGCATACCCTGGGCTCTAAGATAAACTGCCACCCCATGAGCCACACTGCCTTGGAGAAAACCAAGGGACTCACCCACTGTGTCTGCCTCTTGGGATGTCTCTTACTGCAGGCTTAGAGAGAACACAGGGGAGATGCTCCTCGGAGGAGCTGACGGATGGATCTGCAGAACCTGGGAACTCTCTTTCCCCAGGGCACAGTGGGTGAACTGGAGTCTTCACTTCTTGTCTTAGAATGAGCACAGCCCAGAGACCCCCATGTTGTCATCTGAGGTGGGGGTCAGGACCCTTAGAAGATTGTGGCTGACAAACTGTGCAGGTCAAGAAAATCACTTCACCATGGGGTCCTCACTTCCCTCATTGGGATGTTGAATTAGACCATCTTTAGACCCTGTAGTGCTCTGGTGTGAAATAGTCAGGAAATGAAAACAATATTTGGTCTGTCRACAAAGAGATCAACAATGCCATGCTACAGGAAATGTGGTCCAAAGTCTTCCCTTTTACACAATCACTATTTCTGAGCAAGTGGAGACATTTATAACAGCTCACTAACCTCAAAATTGAGTTCAGTCTTTTCAAAACCAGCTAATTGTCCACTTTTTCTCAAATAGGCAGTGCACGCGCATCAACAAAGTCAGAGCAAAAAGGTGGTTAAACATATATGTGCACAATTGGAGCTTCAGAGCCCCCACCTACAGCAAAACCCCTTCCCAAAGGAGACAGATCACGAGATTAGAGTCCTGGAAGTTGCTGTGTGGCGTACTGGGTCAGGCTGATGCTAACGTGGACCACACCGTGCTGGCTCTCCCAGAAACTGCAGCCTGTTCCCTGCTAACTAACCCTTGCCCACTCCAGTTCCCTCCACGCATTCCAATGACTCCACTGTCAGCACAGGCCACCCCCACCCTTCAGGGTCTCACTCCCGCAGGCCCTGAGATACCTGTGTCCTYTTGACTCATCTTCTTGCTCCAGAAATTGCCAAACCCTCCTTCTAGGAACCCTCCCTGCTCTTTTAGCAATAGTGCCTTTTTATCCATGTATCCTCTAGCCAAGGTGGCCAGCGGTTTGAACAGGAAGAAAACACAGGATTGACACTGTGCCCACAGAGAATAGGAACCTAGCATCCTTGTGGACCCCAGGCACCACAACAGCCACTGAAATGCGGGCAGCATCCAGCGGAAGAAGGACAACTATCTGTACTTGAAGCATCTGGTCATGGGATATCCTGTAGCTAGAACATCTGGGAGGCTGACTGAGTGCCTTCGTTTCTGTCCAGATGTTCTTTAGACACACACCATTACATGAAATCATTAGCTGCTYTTGGCAATGGGCCCAGGAGTTTAGAATCAGGTAAATTCCTGGAGGAACTCTCTATAAAGAGTTTGAGGGGTGTTTCCATGAAGATGATTTATAAAACTTCAGAAAGGAGTGCAGAGACCTGGTCCTACCCAGAGTACTCTTTCCCCTAGACTCAACATCAGTAGGATCCTGCTCAAATGAAGATGTGCAAGTAGAGACCTATTATTTCAGGATACAGCCTCCCAGGCCCACAGTCTCAAGCCTGGGCTGGCTGACCCTAGGCTGACCTTAGTGGAGGGTAGGAAGACACCATAAGGAAAATCACCTGACACCTTCCTTTGTCTTCACTGGATATGAAGGTAGACCCAGAGCATCCTGCAGGACAAGGACACAGATGTCACATGAACAAAAACACAATATCCTCCTGTCTTGGGGGCTTCAGCCAGGGTGCCCTGGGTGACTGTATCATGCTCATGGAAACAAGGAGAACTAATTATATCTTCTATGGTCTTCTAGTCCAATACCTCCATTACAGGAATGGGGAACTGGGGCCCAGATAGGGAGGGACTTGCCTCCAGTCAAAGAAGGTTCATGGCACAAATGGAACTCAAGCCAGAGCTCACAACTGAGGCTTAAGTTCTCACCTGATGCCTCATCTTGCAGGCTTCACTCCTACCATGAGGTGCTAAGATCAGCAGGAGCTGGGGTCGGGGGCACCCAGGGATATGGCTCACCCCTTCACTCTCTGTTTAGAAATGGGGGAGGCCGCAGTGGTACCTTCTGCGCCATCTGCAGTGTGTGTGARATGATCCAGCAGCAGAACATCATCGACGTGTTCCACATTGTGAAAACATTGAGGAATAACAAATCCAACATGGTGGAGACCCTGGTGAGTGTGCCAAAAGCTCCAACAGTTAGGGGCTGACTGTAGTCCCTGGAATCAAGGAAAATGACTTCAGGAAGGAGAAACATTCAACAGCTGGGTGTTTACTGAGTATGCACAGTCTATCTGCATATCTCTAGGCCTGCCCTGTTTCTTCCCCTGCCAAACTGACCAAGTTTTCTTTCCTGCAGGGTAATGCAAATGTTCATCCTGGTACACCTACTTTGTTTTACTTTCTACCCATTCCTTAAGAAAAATATCACTAATTCAGGCTTAAAGGAAAGGCTTCTGAATTTGTAGAGTGTGAATTATGTTTGCGATTCAGTCAAATCCTATTCTAATTCACTTATGCTAATTTTTACAGTATGAAGCATTGAASTAGGACACTGTAGGAGAAGGATAGTAAAGAGAGTGGGGAGGCAGATCCCCAGAAGATAAGACCTGGTGCAAGGGAGGAGTCAGGCCATACACAAGGAATTTTAATATAAATGTCTTTAAACCTACTCAAAGTGTGATCTTACCCAATGTGAGATCCCACTCAGAATCTGCATTGCCTGGGAGTGTGTAGACTCTTGAGCCTCACTCCAGATATACTGAATTGGCAGATGCATTTTTAACAGCTGTCCCTGGGTGTTTTGTACACAGGTTACCCTGTGAGAAGAACTGGTATGCAGAATGGTAAGAAGAAAGGGAACAATCCCAGCTGGGCAGTTGAGAAAGCTCAGGTGGAGTAGGCATCCAAGGGAACACTGAAGGATGTCCAGATGTGGATAATTTTGAATTGACTCTGAATGGATGTAGATAAAGTTTTTCTCAAAATGCCTATCTCAAATCTAATGCATTTTTCCCTTTCCTTTCCATCTCTCTCGTTTCTTCTCCTTTGTCTCTCCTCCTCTCAGGAACAGTATAAATTTGTATACGAGGTGGCACTGGAATATTTAAGCTCCTTTTAGCCCATGGGATGGGGAACCTGCTGGAGTCCACAGGCTGCTGCAGCCGAGCCCCATTTTCTGTGAATGGCAGTGACTGGGCTCAGGGGCACAAAAGTGACACCCGCGCCCAGCTCCAAGGAGAAGACTGATGGTCCCATGTTCTGCAGTGGGCTCTGCACCTTCTTAGGGGGTTTCCTGTAGCTGTGGGAGMTGCCGCGCTCACAGGCCCAGGCTTCCCTTACACACCTGACCAGCCACAGCCCTGGGCCCAAGCAGAAGTGCACCCACAAGCAAGGCCCTGGACATCCGGTTCCCAGACCTCTTGTTTTCATTCTTTCCAAGTTTGTGAATCTCATGGCAAGCCAACTGTGCAGGTGCTAGAGAGTGGGRGGCTGGCCAATACTTCCTTCACCCTCGTTCCCTTGTAGTGTGGGGATGTGGGTTCTGCTTCTCTATGCCGTTATGGAAAAAATTGGGACCTTGGAAGTCATTGCTCTGATGCCCTGTACACTCTCTTCTTCAGGGGCCTCTGGTGMCAGATACCTGCCAGTCTGGATCAGTGTGACCTTGGAGTGGCCCCTAGACCACAGTGGAGGCCACTGTCCATCCTCATAATGAACCTGCATGGGGCTTGGCCCACTGCTATTCTGTACTCCTTTCCCAACCCAGGCCCTGACCTTCTGTCATTCACTGGCCAGCCAGCTGTGCCCGCAGCACACACTGATAAAGGTTTTCCATGCTCCTKTGTGGTCTGTGGGAGGGGGTGCAGGGAATGTCGCTACTCCACTTCATCTTTGTAAAAGGGACCACCTTCCCAGGGCAGGGCTCTGTCTGGTCTGTCTCATGTAAACCCTGTGTCTCTTGGATGATAGCTTCCTTTAGGAGGAGCCAAGAAGATAAGATTTGATTATTTTTTCAAGTACATGTGGAAAGAAACTTTCTTTTGAGAGTGTAAAATTTTAGTCTCATATGTCAGGAAATAAAAAAGACAGAGTGGGAGTTTRAATGTGTAGCTACAAGATAAATCTCTTGAACCTATTTTATTTCCTGTCATGGCCTTGAAAGGTCCCAACCTTGGATAGCACAACCACTGGGGAAGGCAATATGACCTAGTCAGAATATGATCCCTGGGTGCTAGGACAGAGAGAGTAACAGCTTTGTGGAAAATCTGGATCTCCAAATTTGTATTCCCTAGAGAAATACAGCCACCATCTTGAAAAAGGCCATTCATGCTTTGGTTTAAAATTGGCCAAGGGGATGAGGCCTGGGACTCTGAGTCTTGCCCAAAGTATGGATGAGTCAAGAAAAGGGAGCCAACATTTGCAAATGTCTACTGTATGCCAGGTGTCATGCTTGGCACTGTCCCTAGTGACAACTGGCCTACTCCTTAGTACCTCCCATCRAGGAGCTATTACCATCATCTCCATTTTGCAATTGAGAAAACCAACACACTTTCCTCAGAGATGAAATCCTGAGTCCCAAAAAGGCAGGTGATGGAGCTGAACCTTCTCTGTACTATTTTCTTCAAACATCCCCAGCCAAGCAATTATTTTATTGGAGAAAAAAAATAAGGCTAGAAACTTCTGAGCAGAGAACTCCACAAATGGAAATTTAATTATTTCTTTCTGATGCCARTTCTTCTGGGAAACCCAGAATTTCAGATGTATTTTAGTAACTCATTCCTGGTTCTCCAGGAAAACTTAGTCTTATCTAATTTCTTCTTCATGAAAACCATGTTCCTGCTCCCTCAAGCTACCAGGGAGCCACCCAGGGATGCTTTACCTTGGTCTCTAGCCAGTGCCTAGGCACAGTATCTGGCAGCCTCCCGTGGCCTGGGATCTAGGAAGCCCCATCTTGCAGGCTGGTCTAACCTGAAATCGGGGATAAGGGGCAAAGAATTTGGTAAAGCACAGTTTTTGCCCTTTAGGGCTCACTATATACTTGGAAAAATAAACCACTGCAAATGGTGTGAATGAGTATTACCTGAACCTGGGTGTGAGGCTCTACCTTTGGATTCCTTGAAGAGGCAACATTCATTCCAGGCAACAGGTAGATAAAGAAGAAAAGGAAATTCAAGCCAAGGGATCAGTCAGTGCAGTGGCAAATAGGTGAAAAAGGCATCTGGAGGGACAGACGGTGGGAAGCCAGCCCAGCGGGAGCACAGCAGGCCAGGGGAAAGTGGCAGGCAACAAGCCAGGGTCAGGGACACAGATACCCCACTGAGGGTGCAGACATTGCTCTGCAGGCTACAAGAAGCCTGTGGAGCTCAGCAGTGATGAGCTCAGTTTGGTGTTGGAGAAGGCTCCCTCTGGACCGGTGGGGCTGCCTCTTTTCCTTTCATCAGACACTGTGAAAACATTCCCTTAAGCGTGTACTTTTTAATAGCATATCTATTTTGTCTGTCTGCTCAATATTTTGTTGCTGGAACAAAATATGCAGTGGATCATGAGACTCAGCTCTTGTGAGAAACCCAGGGTCTCTGCTTTATCATGGAGCAGGGTCAGCAACCYGGGCCTCTATGCTCACCGGGACAGGACATAAAAGGAGCCCAGGGAAGCTGCTTCATTGGCATGGACTCTGGAGCTGTCTAGAAGTCCAGGGACACCAGACTTGATCAAGGAAGGGCTGTCACTTTGGAGGTTCAAAAGGAAACATCTCAAAGCAAAGGCAGGCAAAGGAACCCCATGAYGAACTCGCTCCTCTCTTTTGATGGGCCTCTTCCCAGGTGTATTTGAGCAGGTCCCCAGGACCCAACCCCCACTGATCCTGCTACCTTCCCCCGGCTCCAGTCTACTGCCCCAAATGATCTTCCCCAGCCTCAAGGAGCCTGCAGCCTATTATATGTTGTTTTTCCCCCACATCTTGGGTGGAAGCAGGGCTATTTAACACAAATCCTATTAYTCTCCTCAGAAAGGGGTTAAACATCTGACAGATGATGATGGCAGGCATTTACAACATTTCAAATGGTAGAAATTTAAAGGGTGACTTTAAATTGTAAAAACTCAGGCCATATGGGGTAACCCAACAAGGGCCAGCTCATACCCTCATTTTCTAACAACTTAGTCACCCTCCAAAGAGGCTAGTGTATGCAAAACAAAATGAAAGTTCCTGGGTGGAGATAACTTCTCTAAGRTCCCACATGGAAAATATGTGGCAAGTCTTAGACAAGATGGGGTAATGGTGCCCAGGAATTTGGACTTGATCCCTTACCCAGGAAATCACCCCAGCAAACACCGCCTCCCCAGAGTATCTCCTCACCCCATGGTAGTTAGAGGGTAGGCTTAACCTTTCATGAACAGTCTCCACAACAGAAGCTAGATTCATGTCCCAGGCACCAAAGAGTCTCCTCTCTTAGCAAARATCTTCCTAAGATTTTCACCTTCTAGACATGAACTCCACTTGAAGAAGATGCAAGGAATGAATGAGAATCCAGGAACTGTCCCCACTGGCATGTGGTGGTGGCCTAGATAGCTTCAGCAATCAGGAGCCTGCAGGTGTGAAAATCGTGAGCCCTCCAGGTCTTCCAGGCCCCCAGACAACCACAGCAGGCCTCCCTTGGTAGGAATAGAAGGGAACAGCTTGTGTTAGGTATTGTCCCTCTCTGCGGTGTGGCCTGAGTAGTATCCCACAGGATGTCAGACATCACATGGGGCCAAAAGACTCTGGGCTCCAATTATCCTAAGGAGTGTTTGTGATTATCATAGCCCCAGCTTACTGATGAGGAATCAGAGGCCCCAAAGGGTCAGATCATGCTCAAAGTTCCACGGCTGGTGAATGAGCAAGCCAGGACTTAAACTGGGTTTCCTGATCACTGAGACAGTATCTTTCCACATTGTGTCTGAGACTTTCCCATGGGGTTATCCATATCTGCAGAGACTAGAGTGAAGCAGATAACTCAGTGGATCCCAGTAAATCCCAAAGTGACAATGGTGAGCTTAAAATTCCTTAAAAAGTATCCTGGTTTACTCTAACAATTCATGTAATACCTGAAGTACACTTCCYAATTTGTTCTGATTAGTTTCGATATGACTATAAAAACACTAAAAGAAAAAAAATGGAACCCTATACCTCACATAGCTTTGATCTGTCCGGCCCACTCGGAGGGACCCTAAGGGAATGATGTCCCAGTCTGAGGCATAGTGATTGACTATGCTGCTTTCTCCTGAGGCTAATTCCATACTCAAGCTCAAGACCAGCTCACCCCCGCCCCAAGCAGAACCTTGGTGTGGAGGCATCCTGACCTCACTGTTCCTGAGTTGACCTCAACTCAGGTCCCTTCCAGTTAGGTGTGGAAGAAATCGTTGACCTACTAGAAGAATGAGGACTCGCCCATCTGGCATGGTGAAAGCAAAGCTGGATGCAGCCTTACACCGCAGATTCCTGATTCCTGGGTTTTAGAAGGTGGTACCCATTGTCACAGTGGAGTCCCAGCATTGCTAATGCAGGMAAATCTTCTTCACATGAAGGTCTGGAGTCTAGAAGTCCCCTAGTTTACTTGAGTCACACACACTCMCTGGATTCCTGCAACTTGCAGCACCCTAGAGGGGGGGCCACCAGAAAGCACAGAKTTCTATGTAGGATTAGTATGGCACAGGGCAGCCCTCGGTGAGGGATGGGATTGTGGTAGAAAGAGCTCAGTCTTTGGGTTGAACCCTGACTTTGCCATTCCTTGGCTATGGCATGGTGAACCAAATAACACATAGAAAAAGAACATGAAAACCTGCTTCAGCAAATTAGAATGGGTAGATTTGGAAGGCTTCAGGCAGGAAAACAGGAAGGCAAAGCCAGGGAATTGCAACACAGTGAATACTCARAACCAAAAATGGTCATGGACCATTGAGCAAAGTGGGCACTTCTATGACACAACAGGACAGGGGCATAGGTAGGATTTGTCAGACTCACTTAGAACAGGGGTGCTACTTTGGAACAGATATCGGCATCTGGGGAGAAGATGACTATTTTCCCTGTGGCCAATCATGTTTATTCATCCTCCATTTCTGGTTGCTGTGTTAACTCCTGAT